CCTGACCTCACCCCCACCCCCTCCCTCTCACCCCTCCTCTGCCTGACCTCACCCCCACCCCCTCCTCTGCCTGACCTCACCCCCACCCCTCCCTCTCACCCCCCTCTGCCTGACCTCACCCCCACTCCTCCCTCTCACCCCCCCTCTGCCTGACCTCACCCCCACCCCTCCCTCTCACCCCCCCTCTGCCTGACCTCACCCCCACCCCCTCCCTCTCACCCCCCCTCTGCGTGACCTCACCCCCACCCCCTCCCTCTCACCCCTCCTCTGCCTGACCTCACCCCCACCCCTCCCTCTCACCCCCCCCCCTCTGCCTGACCTCACCCCCACCCCTCCCTCTCACCCCCCCTCTGCCTGACCTCACTCCCACCCCCTCCCTCTCACCCCCCTCTGCCTGACCTCACCCCCACCCCTCCCTCTCACCCCCCCTCTGCCTGACCTCACCCCCACCCCTCCCTCTCACCCCCCCCTCTGCCTGACCTCACCCCCACCCCTCCCTCTCACCCCCCTCTGCCTGACCTCACCCCCACCCCTCCCTCTCACCCCCCCCTCTGCCTGACCTCACCCCCACCCCTCCCTCTCACCCCCCCTCTCACTACCAACTAATATCCACTTCCGCCCCCCCCCTCCCCCTTACAGCCTCTCATATTTACTTCCGTTGAATTCAAATTCCCCTTTTTTCCACCCCCCTTCCCCCTCTCCTTCCCCCCCCCGCCCCTACCCCCCTTCCTCCCCAGACATGTGGGCGGTGGCGTCATAGCTGTTATGATAGTTTTTATCGTTGTAGAGCTGTTCGTAAATGTTAACTCTGTTCGGATTTGTGGGTGATTGACAGTGGTGGATGCCAACCACTACAGTGTGATGCATCCAGTCCCGCCTTCAGGCCAGGAATTTGTCCCCCTTCCTCGCCTGTTATTCAGCTTCACATTGTCCTTGTTTGGATCACGGTATTCTACAGGTCCATTAGGATATTACCTGGGTGGTACCTGCTTGATGGGGTTCTGAGAGTTCTTCTACTCCCCAAGCCCGGCCCGAGGCCAGGCTTGACTTGTGAGAGTTTGGTCCACCAGGCTGTTGCTTGGAGCGGCCCGAGGCCAGGCTTGACTTGTGAGAGTTTGGTCCACCAGGCTGTTGCTTGGAGCGGCCCGAGGCCAGGCTTGACTTGTGAGAGTTTGGTCCACCAGACTGTTGCTTGGAGCGGCCCGAGGCCAGGCTTGACTTGTGAGAGTTTGGTCCACCAGGCTGTTGCTTGGAGCCGTTCCTGTACTCCCATCCCACAAGGGGTATCACGTCACTATTTCTGTAGCCTACATTTCTTCGTCCAAGATCAAAGGCAGCGTCTGGGATGCTCTCGGACGTAGGTTCGAATCCTCGTCACGGCCCTTGTGGATTTGTTCATTTGATCCATCACGCTATTGTGATTTCTGTGTGGAATATGGTTGTCTGTGGTTACTTTGGTGGGCTCCACCCTCGTACTAACCCCAGAAGCAGCTGGGCGCGTTTCCACAGTTCCAGCCAGGGGAAAAATTGTTGTCGGGGGTGGTGGTGGAGGGTCAGGTCCAGCCCTTAATAGTTACTGTCCCTCTGCTCTACCGCTCTGTGGTAGAGAATAGTAATAATGCAAAAAATTCTACCACTTTCCTCTACGCTCCCTTCCTCTCTACCCCCCTTCCTGTTCCTTCCCCCCCCCCCTCTCTCTGTCCCCCACCTTCCTGGTTGCTGGTCCGGTCAACCAGGCTGTTGGACGCCTCTGACGTATGAATCACAGTCTGGTTGATCAGGTATTCTTTGGAGGTGTTTGCAGAGTTTTGCACCGTGGTCCCATCTCCCCCTCCTCCCCATCCTTCCCTTCTTTACCCTGGGCTTCGTCTAGTATACGATGCGGGCAAGATGGTGAGGCTGGCGTCTGAAGATGCTGATAAATATTATGTCAGGTGGGATAAGGTGATAGTGATGATGATGATTCAGATTTAGCTACTCAGAACGATGTGTCCATGTAGCACGGGCTATGGTGAGCCCGTAAGATAGTGGTGAGTGGGGGGCTTGTGGTATAAATGGGTGTAGTGTGTGGAGCACGCGTGAGGGCTCAGGTTAATGAGGTGTTGATGGGTGTACTGAAGGTGGGTGGTGTAGGGGGGGGGAGCGGCTCTGAGAGCTGGGTCAGCGTGTTCACGCTTCGGAGAGTACCCTTTTTTTTATTATTATTATTTTCTACCACAGACGTGGCCGGACATTTACAATGCTAACCAGCATATATACATTTTCTTCTGTCCTCCATGTACAGGGTTAGAGATGTGTTAAACATATAGTTCAAGGGTTTATTGAACAATCAACCACAGGAGGTGATTTGGTGCTTTTAAAATGCTGAGCTAACTTACTAACATACATAGATACACAGATTTACGTATGCCCTACATAAAGTGTTCAATGTGTCTTTTACATAGTGTCATTAATGTACGTTTACAAAGGTGAAATGTAATTCTGATCAGCTTCCATATATACTTTATACCCATACATATACATACACTAGTGTGCATTTTAGCACTTAATCACTGAAGGTGATTAAGATGATTTCACAAGCTCAGGTTATATAGTTACATCACATTATATAATTGATACATTACATGGTTAATCTTGGGTACTAGTCCAATATATCATCAAGTGTTCCAGTACTCATATAGTAATTACAGAGTTCAGCATACCTTAGCCCAGGAGGGCGAAAGTCAGTCAATATGGGACATTCTACAATATAATGTTCAAGAGAGTGCATGTTTTCTCTTTCACAAAGTTGACACATTGTGTACTCGACATTTGGGTTTTGAGAAAGCTGCCAGATACGTCTATATCCCAGGCGTATTCTGGCCACTATAACATCACATTGCCGGGTTCTTGTTCTATTAGTCCCATATGTGAATGTCTCCTCACGATATCTATCATAATATTTAATGCTACAACTTTCAGGTCTTTGTGAATTTGTTAGGTCTGTGAGATTTTCATTAGATATTTGTTTAAGTATTCTCTTTGTCACTGCTAATGAAACACCCATATCAGTTTCTACCACTGGTTTTCTGCAGGCTGTCTTAGCAAGCATATCAACAGTGTCATGCCTTGAGATGCCAACATGTGATGTTATCCGTAGGAATTTAATTTCAAATCTGTTTTCTTTGGCAGCTAAAACATTCATTCGAATATCACTGACTATTTTCTGGGTGTCACTACTATGTGCGTTCAATGCCAGGAGTGCACTCTGCGAGTCACAGTATATAAGTCCACTGCCTTTGTCTTTTAAAAATTCAGTGGCAAGGTATATGCCTGCAAGTTGGGTTTGAGTTGTACTTGCCCAGTCATTGACGCGCTTCATTGCTGTATGTACGAGAGAAGATTGTTCAAATATATTGTATGCACATCCGGTACATCGTCCACCTTCTGCCTGTAGTTTGATATTTAAACACACACACACACACACACACACACACACACACACACACACACACACACACACACACACACACGTACGTACGTACGTGTACACGTATACGGGGCCTCGTAGCCTGGTGGATAGCGCGCAGGACTCGTAATTCTGTGGCGCGGGTTCGATTCCCGCACGAGGCAGAAACAAATGGGCAAAGTTTCTTTCACCCTAAGTGCCCCTGTTACCTAGCAGTAAATAGGTACCTGGGAGTTAGTCAGCTGTAACGGGCTGCTTCCTGGGGTGTGTGTGTGTGTGTGTGTGGAGAAAAAAAAATAGTTAGTAAACAGTTGATTGACAGTTGAGAGGCGGGCCGAAAGAGCAAAGCTCAACCCCCGCAAAACACAACTAGTAAACACACACAGGAGAGACTACGGGAATTAAACGTCACTTCGCTGGAAGACAGAAGAGTTAGGGGGACATGATTGCCACATTCAAGATTCTCAAGGGAATTGATAGAGTAGATAAAGCCAGGCTATTTAACACAAGGGGCACACGCACTAGGGGACACAGGTGGAAACAGTCAAGCCTGGCCCGAGGCCAGGCTTGACTTGTGAGAGTTTGGTCCACCAGGCTGTCGCTTGGAGCGGCCCGAGGCCAGGCTTGACTTGTGAGAGCTTGGTCCACCAGGCTGTTGCTTGGAGCGGCCCGAGGCCAGGCTTGACTTGTGAGAGCTTGGTCCACCAGGCTGTTGCTTCCATAGTATCATAAGATGCGAGTTTCCACTAGAGCCCTGGGGCAGATTTCCGAAGCAGTTACACAAGTACTTACGAACGAGTACATCTTTCCTCAATCTTTGACGGCTTTGGTTACATTTATTAAACAGTTTACAAGCATGAAAACTTGCCAATCAACTGTTGTTATTGTTATAAACAGCCAACTGGTGCTTCGGAGCTCATTAACTGTTTAATAATTGTAAACAAATCCCCCCAAATCGGACGTAGGTTCGAATCCTCGTCACGGCCCTTGTGGATTTGTTCATTTGTTTAATCCAACTATTGTGATTTCTGTGTGTAATGTGAATGTTCTCTGGCGCCTGATGTAACATTGCAGTGTACCTGAATTTACCTGTGGGCCACTGTCTCTAGGGGGCTCGATGGGGACAGGGTGCCGGCAGCTTGTCAAAGGTCCCACCCATTATTCTAGAGTTTGTTTTTTTAGCTGGATTTTGAATTTTAAGTAATTATCTTTGCATTTACGGCTTCGACGGGTAGGCGGTTCCATTGGTTTATAACCTTACGGGTGAAATAACATGTGTTTTTTGTGCTACATTGTGTCATGTTGGGCTTGAAGTTGTTGCCCCGTGTATGTGTTAAGTTGACCAGACCACACACTAGAAAGTGAAGGGACGATGATGTTTCGGTCCGTCCTGGACCATTCTCAAGTCGATTGTGGTCGATTCTCGTTTACAATCGACTTGAGAATGGTCCAGGACGGAGCGAAACGTCGTCGTCCCTTCACCTTCTAGTGTGTGGTCTGGTCAACATACTTCAGCCACGTTATTGTGACTCCTCGCCTGCACTTGTATGTGTTACATCTGACTTTTAAGCAAGTGGTCTGGAGCAATATCCTCCAACTTGCTCAGTATCTTAAAGGACTCGATGAGATCAGCCCAATCGTCTGGAAGATTATTTTGACTACTTTCAATGATTGGTGGATCCTGACTGCTAGGTCCTTTCCTAAGACGATTGGATCCACCAATCATTGAGAGTTGCACAACACGTGGGAGCGGCAATACAAAATGGAACAAAACCTTAAGAATAGTAAAAGAAACCTTTTGATTTCCAGAAAAGAAAGTGTTTCTAGGAAACTGCTCGGTGTAACAGCAGACTTTGACAACAGTCAGCAGCTCTCACAAGTCAAGCCTGGCCACGGGCCGCTCCAAGCAACAGCCTGGTGGACCAAACTCTCACAAGTCAAGCCTGGCCTCGGGCCGCTCCAAACAACAGCCTGGTGGACCAAACTCTCACAAGTCAAGCCTGGCCTCGGGCCGCTCCAAGCAACAGCCTGGTTGGACCAAACTCTCACAAGTCAAGCCTGGCCTCGGGCCGCTCCAAGCAACAGCCTGGTGGACCAAACTCTCACAAGTCAAGCCTGGCCTCGGGCCGCTCCAAACAACAAACTCTCACAAGTCAAGCCTGGCCTGGTGGGACCAAACAAGTCAAGCCTGGCCTCGGGCCGCTCCAAACAACAGCCTCTCACAAGTCAAGCCTGGCCTCGGGCCGCTCCAAACAACAGCCTGGTGGACCAAACTCTCACAAGTCAAGCCTGGCCTCGGGCCGCTCCAAGCAACAGCCTGTTGGACCAAACTCTCACAAGTCAAGCCTGGCCTCGGACCGCTCCAAGCAAGAGCCTGGTAGACCAAACTCTCACAAGTCAAGCCTGGCCTCGGACCGCTCCAAGCAAGAGCCTGGTGGACCAAACTCTCACAAGTCAAGCCTGGCCTCGGGCCTACCTACCTTGAGGCTACCTTGAGGTGCTTCCGGGGCTTAGTGTCCCCGCGGCCCGGTCGTCGACCAGGCCTCCTGGTTGCTGGACTGATCAACCAGGCTGTTAGACGCGGCTGCTCGCAGCCTGACGTATGAGTCACAGCCTGGTTGATCGGGTATCCTTTGGAGGTGCTTATCCAGTTCTCTCTTGAACACTGTGAGGGATTTGCCAGTTATGCCCCTTATGTGTAGTGGAAGCGTCTTGGGCCGCTCCAAGCAACAGCCTGGTGGACCAAACTCTCACAAGTCAAGCCTGGCCTGCGGGCCGCTCCAAGCAACAGCCTGGTGGACCAAACACTCTCAAGTCTAGCCTGGCCTCGGGCCGCTCCAAGCAACAGCCTGGTGGACCAAACTCTCACAAGTCAAGCCTGGCCTCGGGCCGGGCTTGGGGAGTAGAACTCCCAGAACCCCATCAACCAGGAATGACTTGAAGGAGCAAGTTGTAGTAATGTAAGGCACACTTAATTCACAATTTTACAAGTAGGTATGATGAGGAAATAGGTAAGGAGTCATTGCATTAGACCATGGGCGACTAGAAACGCTGGACCCGAGAGCTAGAGCTCGACCCTGCAGCCCCACAAAGAGGTGAGTACATACACATACCCGGGTCATCCCACACACGACCTGTGGTGAGCCCCACCCCCACCATGGTCACTGGTCACATCCTCATTACCACAGTGTTCCTCATTGGTGTGTAGGACGCACCGGCCAGCCACCTGCACCTGTGTACCCGACGTCCCTTTGGTCCCTCCGTGTCTGGGTGGTTCAATCTACCCGCGCCTCGATCTACCCGTGCCTCGATCTACCCGTGCCTCGATCTACCCGCGCCTCGATCTACTGCCCCTAGATCCGCCGTGTATTCTTGTGTACTCTATATCTACTTTGTTAGTTCGTGTTGGACTCTATGGGTAGATACACACAGTAATTTACAAGTGGAAAATATTAGAGGGGCTGGTCCCAAACCTGCACACAGAAATACCACCACATAAGACCAGGAGGCATGGCAGGATGTGCAGAATACCCCCGTTGAAGAGCAGAGGTGCAACAGGTACTCTGAGAGAGAACTATCAACATCAGAGGCCCGAGACTGTTCAACACGCTTCCACTACACATAAGGGACATAACTGGCCGACTCCTCACAGTGTTCAAGAGAGAACTATCAACATCAGAGGCCCGAGACTGTTCAACACGCTTCCACTACACATAAGGGACATAACTGGCCGACTCCTCACAGTGTTCAAGAGAGAACTATCAACATCAGAGGCCCCGAGACTGTTCAACACGCTTCCACGCGATTACACGTGAATGTAATAATCTCTGTTGAGGTCTGATAAAGACCTTTTGTGCCCTCTGTAATCCTTTTTGCGCTACCGCTCACAGGATGAGGATGGGGTGCACGATAAACTAGCCGCCTCCGGCCGCAACAGTCAACAATTATTGGAGGCTGATGTGCGAAGGTCACAAGGAGGAGATGGGGGAGCTACGCCTTGTGGGGAATGGGGGAGGCGTGTGTGAGGTGGGGAGGGGGGAGTTTAAGATGTGAAAGGGGGGGTTTTACGAGGAGTAAAACGGAGAGGGTGAAGGTGCTACACATGTCCCCCCCCCCACCCCCCTAGTGTGGCGGAGCAGCATACTCTCTCACACTGGTCTTTAACCCGACATTCAAGGACAAGACAGGTGCATGACTCGGCCCGTCCCCTCTCGACCCGCCCCGTCCCCTCTCGACCCGCCCCCCCCCTCTCGACCCGCCCCCCCCTCTCTCGACCCGCCCCTTGGCCCGTCCTGCAAGCACAAACGTAGGCACAATAACTAAAGGGTGTTTACGATGCTAATTGAGTGGGTAGGGGTGACTTGAGGGTGTCGGCGAGGGAGTATGGAACTTGAGTTAGAAGTGTTGCTCCTCTCGGAGAGGTTGCAGGAGTGGTGGGAGCAGTTGCTGCAGGTGTGTACAGGTGTGTGTTCCACTGAGGGCATCTGGTACTCGCCTCAGTACTCCTGACGGTGTTGGGCTTGCAGGGTGCAGGTCACTTGTACTCTGGCCGGGCCTGGGGGGGCAGACCTGGGGGGCCAGATTCACGAAGCAGTTACGCAAGCACATACGAACCTGGGGCCAGATTCACGAAGCAGTTACCCAAGCACTTACGAACCTGGGGCTAGATTCACGAAGCAGTTATGCAAACACTTACGAACCTGGGGCTAGATTCACGAAGCAGTTACCCAAGCACTTACGAACCTGGGGCTAGATTCACGAAGCAGTTATGCAAGCACTTACGAACCTGGGGCTAGATTCACGAAGCAGTTACGCAAGCACATACGAACCTGGGGCCAGATTCACGAAGCAGTTACGCAAGCACATACGAACCTGAGGCCAGATTCACGAAGCAGTTACCCAAGCACTTACGAACCTGGGGCTAGATTCACGAAGCAGTTACGCAAGCACTTACGAACCTGTCCATCTTTTCTCAATCTTTGGCGGCTTTGTTTACAATTATTAAACAGTTAATGAGCTCCGAAGCACCAGGAGGCTGTTTATAACAATAACAACAGTTGATTGGCAAGTTTTCATGCTTGTAAACTGTTTAATAAATGTAACCAAAGCCGTCAAACATTGAGGAGAGGTGTACACGTTCGTAAGTGCTTGCGTAACTGCTTCGTGAATCTGGCTCCAGGTTCGTAAGTGCTCGTGTAACTGCTTCGTGAATCTGGCCCCAGGTTCGTAAGTGCTTGCGTAACTGCTTCGTGAATCTGGCCCCCAGGTTCGTAAGTGCTTGCGTAACTGCTTCGTGAATCTGGCCCCAGGTTCGCAAGTGCTTGAGTAACTGCTTCGTGAATCTGGCCCCAGGTTCGTAAATGCTCGCATAACTGCTTCGTGAATCTGGCCCCAGGTTCGTAAGTGCTTGCGTAACTGCTTCGTGAATCTGACCTCTGGCAGTGTCTACACACTGACTTCGTCACGGTTGAGAGGAACTTGTTAACTTGTTTCTTTAAGGTTACCCTCAAGGGAATTGTGGGAGTCAGTGGCCCCACAGCCTTATAAAATCAAATGAGAAACTTTATTCATAAATGGTTGACCAGACCACACACTAGAAGGTGAAGGGACGACGACGTTTCGGTCCGTCCTGGACCATTCTCAAGTCGATTCTCATTCGACTTGAGAATGGTCCAAGACGGACCGAAACGACGTCGTCGCTTCACCTTCTAGTGTGTGGTCTGGTCAACACACTTTAGCCACGGTATTGTGACTCATCGCCTGCTCACAAATGGTTATTTATAACTGGGAAAGTTTAAGAGAGTATGACAATAACAGCTTATATCACGTAGCTGTTATTTGCCATACTCAACTGGTTGGTGGTCTGGTCAACCAGGCTGTTTGACGCAGCTGCTTGCAGTCCCACGCGAGGCTGGAACCCGTAGGTGCAGGACCGGGACGTCCCCCCTTCTGGGGCTCGTGTTGCCCCCAGGTTCTGCTTCAGGAAGCTGGGGTCGTTCATGCCCTTGCTGGGGTGGTTCTTCTCCCGCCCCGACCACTGCGGTCTCCGGGTTGGGAATCCCTGTGCCCTTTTTCACCGACTTCGATGTCAACTCCGGAGCTATCAGTTCCTGTGACGGCGCTGGAGCCAATCGTACTGGCGTTTGCCTTTCCATTGGAGGCTTTCGGCGCCGTGGGGATAAGGAACCTGCTGCATGGGTAACAGCTTCTCCCCCGTATCAACCTACTCTGGCTTTGCGCCCTGGAAAGGCTACTCCGGACCGAGAACCAAAACCCAACTATAGTCTCCTGAGACTGATGGATGCCTACTGGTGGTTGTGGGGGTGTTGTGGTGGTGGTGGTTGTGGGGATGATGTGGATATTGGGGGATGGATATTGGGACATGGGGGTTGCAGGCAAGCAGGTGGGTGGGTGAGGGGCCGCCTAGCGGGAGCTCACGGTACTACCCACCAGCTGTCAAAACCCTGGCTATGTACTTGAAGGATATCTGCCGTTGCGGATGTTTTGGTTCTTGTGCGAGTTGGTTGGCTCCTACCGCCTCGCCGCTCCCAATATGCAGCGAGGAGGGACCTGAGGGGCTCTGGGGTGCTGCATTGAGCAATAAAGTCGACTGTGTGGTGGTGGGGAGGCTGGTGATGGGCCTTAAGGAGGCGCGGGGGTGTGTGGGAGGGGGGTGGGCGCCACTATCCGCCCGTGCTAG